ACGGTGCAAAAAAACGCATTGATATGGAAGTTCAGAGGCTTAAATAAGAATGGTGCAAATATGCAGAATTTGGTTTGGAGCTGTCAGTGTGATGCAGAGTCTGTGACATGATTTAGAGTTTTTTTAACAGTTCAGCTGTCTAATGGCGGTGGGTAATAAGCTGTTACAGAATCTGCAGGACCTGCATCGGATGCTGCGAAGCGTCTTCCCAGAGGGCAGCAGGGAGAACTGTTCATGGTTGGGTTCGGGAGGGGTCATGATGATGTTATGGGCTCGGGACACGCAGCGCTGGGATGAAATGTCTTTAATGGAGGGAACTATTATTATGACATGATGAAGACCTGGTTCCATTACTCATGTGAGGTCAGCGCTAGGCTAGTTTATTTCTATAACCAAAGAAAACAGTAAGCTGTACATAAGAATAAAACATAGAAAAATCCTGTTCCGTGGCATAAAGGTAACAGAGATAATTAGTGAATAAAGCCTCTACTTACTGTTTATTACAGCTGGTATGACAACATTACACTCTGCATCGCCTGGTTGAATCCCTCCAATAGACAGAAATGTATATAATTAGTATTTTCTTTAAAGCTGGAGCAAACTATTATTTAGTTAATCGAATAATCTGTTACTTAGACAGAAAACAGCACCTTAAAGAAGATTTTATAGACTTTAAAGCAAGTGAAGCCAATTGGTCACCCCCCCCCCCCCCCCCCCCCCCCCCCCCCCCCCCCCCCCCCCACTCCAGCTAAACCACAGGAAATGGGGATCAACTACCTGCTGGAAATTCTCAGAGATGTCTCCGTGCTCGCCTCAGACATATTGGCTTTAGATCTTGGCCTCTGTGTGACTACTAGCTTAAGTAAAATGGCTTCAGTGTCAACGAACTTAAATGAATTACGTTCTAACATTTTAAAAGAACCTTTTAAATCTAAATGTACCTTTTTTACACAGTAACGCCATGTTAGATCAGAGCTCGTCCAAACAGCAGGCCTGACAGGAAGTCCAACGCCTCCATCACCTGCTTACCTCCTATCTGTACGAGCTTCACCCTCTGCTCCCACACCCACCTCTTCCTTCAATGTTCCCTCTCTCTCTTCCTTTCTCTGCCCCCTTAGATGTATGTTGTTGACACGGAGGGATGAGGAATAATGGAATCTCTTGTCAGTGGCTTGTATTTTCTGCCCGGACTGTTCAGGCTGTGTATAATAGTAGCAGCGGCGAAGGAAGAGGGGAGGTTATGTGCCACTGATAGTAATGAAGGTTGCCTTTTCATTTTTTAATATGGGACGTTTGTGGGCCGAGGCAATGCTCTCCGCTAATCCTACCCTTGAGCCGAGCTAGCTACACGGATGCATCAGCCTTACACACACACACACACCCCGATAAAACACACTCGCACAATCATTCACACACCTTCCTTAAGGCGAGACAGCGGACTGTTTGATAAGTCAGGGTGCATTTCTGCTCCTCATGAAAATTTCACTCCCGCCCCCCGTGTTTGTGTCTTAAGGAAATACAGCCGGCTCCTGTTACAGACGATATGGTATTTGTTTAATATTTGATGCATTTGAAAGCTTGAGTGACTGGCTGCTGCGTTTTTGTAAACCTTTATCAGAAACGAGTAAATGGAACAGGCTGCACTGCAGATTGAGAAAATGATGGCGGTTCTGGGGCCGTGATGAACTGCTGGCGTCATGCTCCTGTCACAGGTTAGATACTGTGTCACTACTGGTTTCGTAGAAAAACTAATGAAGCGTATTCTGACAAAAACAGGGCGTATTTAGACGCATTAATCCACAGACTTTCAGTAATTCAATGTGACTGAATGTGATAAACCAGCAGAAGGTGTTGCATTGTTATGAAATGTAATGAGGGAGAATGATGCGTGGTTAGTGAACTGTTGCACGTGTTTGGGTTCTACCAGTTCTCTGAGGTGCTTAAATCTACCTTCTATGCAACCAATTGGCTTCTGTCTTTATAAAAACAGCTGCAGACACAAATAAGGCCAGAAGAAAGCCTGTTTTATTAGTCTTACCTAAAGCACAAAACATGGCTGAAGGTCCCCTAATCAGATTGGGATTAAAATCAAACTTCCTAGTCACTGCATATAGGAAAACCTGAACACCTTATGGCCTAATAATATAGGCAACAGTATGGTGTGGGGATTGTTTTTCCCTCAGCAGAGACTTGCTACCAGGTTGGACCTGAGATAAGAGCAGTTTGAAGCTGCCAGAGGTGTGAGCCTGGAACAGAACAGGAGAAAGAACCATCAATATGCTATGTTGATTTAAGCATTAACATGGCAAATGGGTAAATGGCATGTACTTATATAGCGCGTTTATTCAGGTTAGGAGACCTGAACAACACATTCATTCACCCACACACTCACACACTGATGGTGGCAAGCTACATTGTAGCCACAGCTGCCCTGGGGCTCACTGACAGAAGCGAGGCTGCCGTACACTGGCGCCACCGGGCCCTCTGACCACCATCAGTAGACAATGCAGGTGAAGTGTCTTGCCCAAGGACACAACGACAATGAAAGTCGGAGTCGGGGCTTGAACCGTCAACCCTTTGATTACAGGGCAAACTCCTACATCCAACGCCACTGTCGCCCCTTTATTTTCACATGTATGTGAATGGCCTGTGTGATTTAAGTATCTGTGTGAAGACTTGAAGGCCACCGTTAACAGATTCTTCTGAATTAATCTTGCAGAAAATGAACCATTTCAAATTAATAGATCAACTTAATCATCTCCTTAATCATGTGTTATTCTTGTAAAGATTAGAGAATATTAGCTGTTGTAATTCATTTGAGGGATATGTATGGTAACAGACTGCTAATCAATATCATTAGAAAATACGTCCTGTAGACTAAACTCTGATCCAGACCCACTTTGCATTCTGGGTGATGTAGAAAGAGGAAACCATTTAGCCTGTAAACCTCTCATTAATAGGCAGAGCAAGGCTGCAGGCAGGGCAGACCACTTTTTAAAGGTTAAAGGTTACATTTAGGCGTAAGGTTTAAACTCCACCTGATTCCCCCTGGTCTTTATTTCGAGTATCTAAAACAAAACTCATCAGTAATTGATATCTGCCTGAATTAAAATGTTCTATCATGTTCCACCCTTTTTACACTTATTGACCAAAAGAAAACAAGTTCATGAGCCATCTTCTTTTTTTATTTTTTGTTAGCTGGTATGTTTGTTTAGTTTCCATTTTCTGTGGCTTGCTAACTTTTCTGTCAGTAAGTATGCCTAACCTGTGTTTTTCTATTGTTTTTGTTTTGTTTTCTTCCTTCTGGCGGCGTTATTAAAGCTGCCGGGTAGGGTGCAGGGTCTGCAGCACTGAAGTGTGCTGTGTGTCTTAATTGCTTTAATAGCACCTGGTCTCTAATCCCAGGTAATTAGAGTGCTCAAATTAGACAGCTACTTTCAACCGTCTCTTGAAAAAGCCTGGAGGAAGACCCCTCCATGCCGAAGCTCTCATTTCACCAGCACACACATAGAGCCCAATGAAACATTGAGATGCAGATATAGAAACAGATATTGTGCTGATTTAAAAATTAGCTTAATGATAAAGATTTTTTTTATTTTGTGAAAATCCGACCTTTTTCCAATACTTATCCACTTCCTCCATTTTCGTTGTCTTTCTGCATTTTATTTTGCGGCTCGAATGTTCCGTCGGAGCCTCTGAAACGTGTTTGAAGAAGCTGTGGGGAAAGGTTAAGGCCCTCTTTTAAAGATGAGCCGGAAATGTCAAGTGTCTGCCCCTCAGGCTCCCTGTACTAAGGCTGCAACAGGGATCTGCATCACTAACACACACAGACACTCTGATACGAAGGTTGGAAATAACTGCTAGTGACGTCCTTTATTTTCTGTCATTTCTTACTGACTCTCTTCAGTCTTTGATATTGTGGTTAAAGGTTAAACATCAACTAACTGGCAGATTATTCTCAATTAGTTCCACTAATATTTCAAATAGGTTTCTTTATTTACTTGAAGCATGTCAGATTTTAACATTGAGCTAACTGGCTGTAAAGATCCTGCATATTTTGACATAATCATAGTTTGATGAATTTTATTTAAAATTTCACTTCAATTCTGAAGTTTTATTTTCAGATTGTGTAGTAGTGCAAAGATGCCAACAGAGGGCGATAGTCGGCCAGCCACAGCATTCTCTGTTAGGGACCAGAGTCCCAGGCAGACAGGCCTCAGCTGGGAGCCTGGAATAAATGTTTTTTTTGTTTCTTTATAAGTGTTTATTGCTATTTACATTTTTTTTTTTGTATATTTCAACCAAATACGAATAACTTTCAGGAGTAAAAATGTGTTTATTTAGGTTAAAACAAATCTATTAAATTTCTGTAGTTCTTATACAACTTTGAAAAGTTCTCAAAGACAATAGCCAAATGTGTTTTCCCATTCAGTTGTTCTGTTCACTAAAAGCTATCGTCTTGGTCTCAGTGCAGACAAAACCTGAACTGTTTCTGCTGTAAAACTAATAAAATGAACTCTCTATTATTGTAGTTTTATTATTTCTCCATAGTGATCAAAGAGAATAACGCAGCTGTTACTGTCCTTGTCACTAGATCAGTGAATATCCATCTGATTCAGCGTCAGCTCGGCTGCCTCCACAATACCAAGTATTCGTGGGAGAGTAAAGGCTTCTTATGGTGAAAGCGTTCAGCCCAGATAAGGCTTCAAAGGCGAAGCTAATTAATAAGATGTTTACATTATTCACGGTCATACGCTGCTTCCTGAATGACCCTCCAGTAGGGTGTGTGAAAGCTCATTATGTGCCAGGATGGCGTGCTAATTGATTGAGCAATGGTGGAGTAAAACATTTCACTGAAAAATAAAGATTTTATTGTCATCTGAAGGGAGAATGCAGAAATGACAAACAATATGCCACGCAAGATTATTGAATATGTGCTCAGTTTGTGTTGCATTAGAACATAAATATTTTAATTCCTTTCCTCTTGTCTCTGCCTGCAGCCCAGCCCTGCCCCAAGTCCGGTTCTGGGAGGGAAACCCAACGCCAGCCAATCCCTGCTGGCCTGGTGCCGTGAGGTCACCAAGAACTACCGCGGGGTGAAGATCACCAACTTCACCACCTCCTGGAGGAACGGACTGGCCTTCTGTGCCATTCTGCACCATTTCAGGCCGGACCTCATGTACGACTAACACGGAAACTGAAGCTTATTTTCTGCAGAAAATCATTTATTAGAAGGCATAAAGTGGGCGGCAGCTGGTTTAAATATTCCAAAGCATTTTTAAATATTCCAAGGTCACACTAGAAAACATATGATATATATAGGGTTCCTACACAGCCTGGAAGAGTCTTTAAAAATATAAAATCTCCTCGACCATTTTCCAGATCTCAAGTATAGAAGCCATAAGCTTAAATGTGGGAAAATTGCTTCTTCCATTTTTTTTTTATTCCCTAAAAAACAATAGGGCTGCATCTTTTCACACTGGTTTAGGCTTGCTTTTCCATGACACACCTCAGTTTTAACATCTGACCTATCAGCTTTTAGGTTGTTAGATCATTGACTAAATGCCAGATTACTCATACATAAAAAGGAGTCATTTTAGCACTATTTTGGGCTTTAGTACATTTGAAATGCAGGTTTAACACAGCCCTTTGTTCAGGTGAAAATTGGTCTGGTTAGAATACCAACAAAAACCCACTAAAAGACGCTGCAAATGAGCATTAGTCTGCTTCACAGTTGGAAGCTTCAGCCCTTATTTTGAAAGTCTAAACATTTAGAAATTACTCCAGAACAATAATTAGTCCAATGATATAAGACTTAACTCTATTGTCTTCAGAAAGTACAGATTTTAGGAACTAGTTACCTTTGAAGTAGTTAAATATTTCTTTGAGTTTTAGAAAATCGTCAGTAAAAATGTTGAAATTTAATCAGAAATGTTTGGAGATGTGAAAGTTTCTTAGGATTTTGCTGCATGATGCTGTTATAAGGCGTTTAGTTTTACCAATTATTTTATTGGATTTCTGTTGTATAAAGACCTTTAAATGAGAAACCAGGAGTGTTCAGGAGTGACTGCAACACTCTCCCTTCCCCTACCTGTTGCTGCACAGTGATGGCCAGCTAAAAAAAAGGAAGCTGGGATTTTCAGAAAATTTAGCTCCTTAGAAACATTTCTGAGAAAACAAAATGGTTATGATGCAGAACAGCTACAGATGATATTCACAACTTATAAAGTCAAAAATATTCCCAATCATTTAAATCCTTCTTTTCATAAAGATGTAGGTCATGTAAAACAGAAATTCTCCTGCTAAATAGTATAACATCCTTTATTTATTATATTAATAATAAAGGGAACAGACAATGGTGAAATAAATCTAACTGTAGCTAAAACGATAATGATCTTCAAGATCTGTTAATGTTTATTATCTTGAACACTTGAAAATGCCAGGTTTTAAGACAATAGTAAACAATATTCTAAACTAATTTTATTGTGGAAAGTAGAAGAGTTATTCAAGTAGAAATAATGCATACCTAATGAACCTGTAGAAGGACTTGGATTAAATCATGTTTTTTTTTAATTCTCTCTTAAATTTGGATGGAAATAAGGTTATTTGGTTAAACGTGTTGTTTTTACTGGAGCTTATCAGACCATGAGGATCTTTACCAGGCCTGTGCCAGGAGCACACATATACAAGATAGTTTATTGAAACTCTGCTCTGTGAGCATTTATATATATATATATATATGTGTGTGTGTGTGTGTTTTTATGCCCTCCAGTGAGTTATTTTTACACGTTTTCCACTCTATTAGTTCTGTTGATTACTCTGCTCTGAAATTGCATGTTACCGTTCTAATACCATTACATGTGACGCATATTTAAACTCATCTGTTCCTCCACTGTGCTGCTCTGTTTACCGTTCTCCCCTTCCTCCCCACTGTTCTTTCAGAGACTACAAGTCGCTCAATCCTCAGGATATTAAAGAAAACAACAAAAAGGTAAGAGGCAGCCACCGCTGGGCTCTTCTCAGCACACACCTCCCCTCCCATCCTCCTCTCCATTTGGTCTTATTTAGAGACCTGCCCATTAATCCCAGGATGAAGTGTGTTTGCATCTTTACACAGTTTGAGTGGAGGATGGTGGCAACGCGTGACATGACGAGCGAATGTGTGTAATGGTAGAGATACGCTTTGGTGCCAGCGTGTTAAAAATGTCCACTCCTGCTGCGACGTGTGTACCTGTGTCCAAAGCAGGACTTAGTCACCTGGTGGAAGTGGGGGGGGGGTATCTGCTTCAGGTTTGTCGGTAGAGAAGCTAGTGGTGTCATCAGACTTGGTGCCGGAATCCAAGCTGCTCGGATACTATATTTTCACTTCTAGCTGCATTAACTATGACCCACACTTCATTTTCTAATGGGCCTTATTAGGATTCATATGTTAGTCTTTTTTTCCTTTTTTAATGTGGTTGATTTGTGTTTAAACAGGAGCCTCCAAAGTAAGGTTCAGAAACACTGGGAGGTCACAAGATGTCTAGCGAGGTGTTTTATGGTTCCTCGGGATGTGACCCCTGAGGGGTACGGAGAGCTAAGATGGAAAAAGTTAGACAGCTATATCTATATGATACATTTAACCAAATATTTATTTAATACATTTTTATTTTTTGAATGGTGCATTAAATTATGAAATTCAGAATTAGATCATTATCATGCTAATAAAGTCATATTTGTGGGGAGTGGCGGCCTAGTGGTTAGGGCATAGAGCTTCAAATCATGAGGTTCTGAGTTCGAGCCCCACTCCCACAGACTGCCACTCTGGGTCCCTGAGCAAGACCCTTAACCTTAGAGGTTTGAGTTTTTAGAATAACTCAGAATGCATGAAAATTCCACCGATTTTTACCAATATAGACATGTTAGATAGCATTGGAAAGCTTGGATTCTCCACAATTCAACCACCAAGATAATTTTATGGACACAGCGAGCACCACAGCACAATTAACACAGGTATAGCAGCATGGGAAAATATAAACCTGACAAAGCTGATACGACAACATACCTTTGAAGGCATCCAGAAGCTGTCTTATAAATCCAACCTTCAATTGTTTACACTACATTCGTCCATAAGGGTCCACAGATTAAAAGTAATCCAGCATATTCGTAATAAAAATATTCCATGATGAGAAAATCGGCCATAACATCCGGTTGTTGACATCAGAAAAGTTGGCTGGTCATAGCTTATTATCAACATCTTGCTAATATTCACTTCCTAATACTTATTTCCTCAGTTGTTAGCATGCAATGTTTGGTATGGTTCTTTACATCATCTTCTCATCTACAAGACACAAGTGTCTGCATATATGTATGACGCGATTTGAGTGAGAAATAATCCCCGAAATCTCACTTCCGGTTCACTTCGGGTTCACTTCCTCTGCCGGGCGGGCCATTTTTAAAAACCGAGGAACAACTACAATGGAAAACTACGACGAAAGGTTAATCGGTCTTTTTGCAACTCCATTAACAGAACCTGTTCCTCTTCGATGTCTAGCAACTCTAGATCAATCTCAGTGACCATGATATCTTGCAGACGCACCATAATTTTTTTTGGAAGATAAACACTCCCGCCCACGGCGCCAAAGTTCTCGTGACCATCCGTCGAAGTTCTCGCGAGTTCTCCAATAGGCTCCCCCTTGCACTTTGGCGGGAAACTGCTGTGCGTCCCTAAAAATTACAGAACGACGGTGCAGAAGCATACCAGCAAAACTGGCTCGCCACCAGACCCAAGCAATCTGCCCTTAAGGATGATGATACGTCACATATTTGAGAAGTTGATTGTTCATTTTAATGTGCTTTTTATATTCTATCAAAAATGCAAAGAGAAAACGAGTAAGATGGATTTCAAGTGTTTGTAATCATTCTGCACAAATAGAAAATATCACTGCATGAATTTATTTGGTTAGAATAAAGAAATGTGTAGAAACACACATTAATCTCTCTGCCCTAATATGCTCCATAATTCCAGTGTGTCTCTTAAAGGAATAGTACACCCAAAACATAATTAGCCTTCATTTTCTACTCACCCCCATGCTGAACAACACTCTGGAGTACTTTTTTGATATCTCAAATGCATCTGGAGATCTGGGAGGCTTCTTGCTGTCTGCTGACATTCAAATAATGGAGGTCTATGGTGCCCGAGACAGAAAGGTCCATAAAAGTCCACAAAAAACGTGTCAATATTCCTCCATACTGCTCATCCAATGCATTCCAAGTGTCCTGAGTGGGTAGCATCCAGAATTTACTCGAAACGAAGTCATTTAGAATGTTTTTAGAGCATAAACAGTAGTGTATAGGATTTCCTGAAAGCGCGCACATGTGCGCTCACGACGCTATGGAAGCCGGTGAACCAAACCAGCGCATTCAGCTCGGCAAAGAACTCATGCTCTTCCTCAACACTGAAGTCCTCAGACATTTTTCTTTCGTTGTTTCTTTCTTTACACAGGTAAACAGCACATTTCTTCTTCTACGCTTGCATTATCGGCAGAGCAGACGCTGAATGCGCACTTTCATCTGGTTTGGTCTGCCGGCTTCCGTAGCGTCGTGATCGCGCATGTGCGCGCTTTCAGGAAATCCTATACACTACTGTTTATGCTCTTAAAAACATTCTAAATGACTTCGTTTCGAGTAAATTCTGGATGCTACCCACTCAGGACACTTGGAATACATTGGACGAGCAGTATGGAGGAATATTGACACGTTTTTTGTGGACTTTTATGGACCTTTCTGCCTCGGGCGCCATGGACCTCCATTATTTGAATGTCAGCAGACAGCAAGAAGCCTCCCAGATCTCCAGATGCATTTGAGATATCAAAAAAGTACCCCAGAGTGTTGGTCAGCATGGGGGTGAGTAGAAAATGAAGGCTAATCATGTTTTGGGTGTACTATTCCTTTAAACCCTTTGCTGATTTATGCTACTTCCACGCAGAACTTGTAAACTCCGTAATTTATTCCTGTAGCTCTACTTCATCACATCTGCACATTTACTCTTTAGGTGAATCTTTGCACAGCTCAACGCCCCCCCCCCCCCCCCCCCCCCCCCCCCCCTTGCTCTGTTTGCACATTTCCCTCCTCTGTTTGCAGGATTCACAGATGCACATCCCATTTTTTGTCCCCTCACTACACACCTATATAGGCACAGCACACAAACGTCCCCTCATCGGCCCCAAGGGCTACACAGAACGATACGCGTCGGGTTCCTGCAGCTTGATTTCCTCTTCTCATACACACTCTGGCTGAGCGATAACCTCTGGTGGCCCTGTTAGGCATGAATGCTACCCTGTTGACAATAACCACAGTGGAAGGAGAGGCAGAGAGCCAGTCCCATATCTACTAACTGCCCTCACCTCCCTCCAGGTGCTCGAGTAGCCCTGAAGAAATTGGTTAGATAGAAGTAATATGGGGAATATGCTGTACAAGGCGATAGCTTGTGAATAGCTGCTCTACTGTAAAAAGTGTGCTGCAGCTAGCCTCCATTTACAGCGCTACACCAAAAAGATATAAAGAGAGTAAAGTGTATCCATGCTGATACAGAATGGGTAATGTGTCTGGAAAAAAAATATTTTACATTATCTAATGAAAAGGAAAAAAGCTGATCCAGTTTGCCAAGAGTGATAATAAACTCCCATGAGGTGCAGGCTAAGCAAAGGTATGAGCGTCTTCATCACTGCCAAACTTTTGTCATGTGAGGCCAACAAAGAGCCAAAGATACCTAATGGCAGTCGGGATGCTCCCCTTTATCCTGTCCCTCTGTAGATATGCCTCCTCGGCCAACACCAGCCCACCACCAAACCCATCATGCTAACGATGTTGCAGCATGATGTGTCCATTGAACTCAGCGCTAACATGCTAGCATCTGTGAAAAGAACCGGCAATTTTTGCATTTTACTGACCCAGTACCAGTGAAACTCCATGGTGCTGGGCAATGAGCTCAGGAATTAGTATAGAATGATGGGCCCTCATCCACCCTTAAGCTTTCTTTACGTTTGAACCGTCCATCAGGTATGCACAGCCTAATTCGTCATTTTTAGTTTCCTACACCCCGCTGCACGGCGTCCCTGTGGACACACTGTTTAAAGAGCCATATTGGACCCAAAAAAACAAATCTGTCTGGAGCTGCGACCTGCCTGGCACTGAGCTGCACTGAAACGTCTGTTCCAGGCTATGACACAAGTCTTTGTTGACAAAAATGAAACATAATGAATGTTTGTTTGACCTCCTGCAAACCATATTAAAACTAACAAAAAATCCACATTTTTCCATTTTCATACATTTTTTTAAAAGCTCCTGGGACCCTAAGGGGGGGCATTAAAGAGACACATATGGCTCTGGAGCTGCGTTTGCCGACCCCTGTCCTAAAGTAACTGCTTGTCTCCTGGAATCTATTTTTGGTCCTCAGACTCTGCTGTGAAAAGCAGACCTTCTGCCAATGGCGCTTACTGTTGTCCAAACCTACAGGAGACCTACTTTAATGCCTTTGCAACCTCTGTAAGGCCAGGGTTAGTGCCTCTTGATACTGACACTGATCCAAAGTGTTAACGGATAATAAAAAATGAAGGAATAAAAGATCTGAGGTTAACCTGGCATATAGACGACAGCAATGAATAGAGGAATGGTTATCTTAAAGAATTTCCATGTGCATTATTAAGGAGTGAGCCACCACTCCACTCCAAACTTTCGACACTTAGCTGGCATAATTGAATCACAGAGGAACTATTTACCTGATTTCGGTGATTAATCATTATTCTGTTAGCATCAATGCAGCAGAGATATTCTGTATTGTTAGGTTGTTAAAGAGTCCGGAAGCTCTTTTGGACTATTTATAGTCTTTTATTTAAAAGCCTCCTGGGTCAGGAGAACACCAGTAAGAGTTTTTCGTCATCCTTCTGTGTTACTTTAATACCTTGTATTTTAATGTGATATATATATATTTTTTTTTTTTGTAAATATGAT